AGCCAGAATCCATCTGACATCAGCAATGATATTCCTGGTGCCATGGCCTCTTCTAAACCCTGCTTGAACTTCTGGTAGTTCCCTGCCTATATACTTACTGTTCTAGTAGTTTTTTAACGATCTTCAGCAGTATTTTGCTTGCATTTGATACTAATGATGTTGTTCATTAGTTTCCACATTCAGCTGGATTACCTTTCTTGGGAATGGGAACAAATGGGGACCTCTTCCTATCCGTTGGCCAGATAGCTGTCCTCCAAATTTCCTGACATAGACTGGTGAGCACTTCCAAGGCTGCATTTGTTAACGGAAATAAGTCAATTGGTATCCCATCTATTCCTGGGGCCTTATTTTTTGTCAGTGACTTCAATGCAGCTTCCATTTCCTCCTTCATTACCATTGGTTCCTGGTCATATGGTACTTCCTGAAATTCTTCAGTGTCACTCGATTCTGTGTATTCTCTCCATCCTCCTTTGATGCTTTCTGAGTCATTCAATATATTGATCATAGCATCTTTAAGTAATGCAATTGGAGGTTTGAATTTGTATTTCAGTTCTCTCAGCTTGAGAAATGCAGAGCAAGTTCTTCCTTTTTTATTCTCCAATTCCAGCTCTCTGAACATTCCATTATGATACTTCGGTTTGTCTAAATTATTGAGGAGTAATGATGTCAGTTTGAGGACTAAGGTGCATCTGATTCAGGCCATGATCTTTCCAATTACTTGCTATGCATCTGAGAGCTGGACAATGAATAGGGAGACAGAAGAATTGATGCCTTTGAGTTGTGGTATTGGAGAAGAGTACTGAACATCCCATGGATGGCCAAAATAGCAAATAAATATGTCTTGGAGAAGGTGCAGCAAGAGTGCTCTTTGGGGGAAGGATGATGAGGCTTCACCACACATACTTTGGCCATCTGGCTAGAAGGAGTTATTCCTTCGAGAGGGACATGATGTTTGGAAAGGTGGAGGGTCAGTGAAGGAGAGGAAGACCCACAGTCACGTGAACTGACCTGGTGATTGCCACAGTTGACTCTTGTATGCCAGGAAGTGTGAGGATGGCACAGGATAGGACGGAGTTCAGATCCGCTGTTCACAGGGTCTCTGTGAGTCATACTTGACTGAATGGCACATAACAACAGCAATAACATAGCTGTTAACTGCTAAAGCTAGTAAACTGTGTGCTATAGAGTCACCCCCAATCCTGACAATCCCACCTCTGTCAGGTAGAACTGCACTTCATGTGATTTTCAGTGGCTACTTTTTTTGAAGGGAATGTTGGTGGGCTAATACATAAGGAGTCGAGCTACCAAACCAATGGCAGGTAGTTCAAATCCACTAGCTGTTCCATGGGAGAAAGGTGGGAAATCTCCTCTGTGTGATTTACAGCCCCTGAAAATTCTCTGGAGAATCAGCTATGAGACAGGTCTGACTAGTGAGCCCATAACAACAACAACAGCAATGTTGTTGTTGTTATTGTTGTTAAGTGCGGTAGAGTCATAGACGACCCATAACACCCTGTGAACGAAAGTCTTGAACGCAAAACTTTCATTTTTTCTCCAAGTTCATAGAGTTTCCGGAGGCAAGCTTTTTCGAAAGTGGATGCCACTCCTGCATCTAAGCTTGTTTTATTGAGGAGATCCACAAAAACTTCGGGCCCCAAAGCCTTTTTAACAACAGCAATAACCACTGTTTTTTTTCAGAAGGATATAGCCAGGCCTTTCTTCAAGTGTCGCTGGAAGACTGGAACCTCTTCCACCTTTTAAATTATGTCAGTTGTTTGAATCACCCAGTTATTCTGCTTAAATGGGATCAAAGAAAAAGTACACTAAAATAATCTTTGGGATTTGGTTTTGCATGTTTTCTAAAGAGAGTGAATTTTCGTTTTAATCCTGTAAATCTTCTCAAGCAGAATTTGTTGTGTTTTTTCTTTTCTCTTGTGAAAATATCTGTCTCAAAGAGTTTTATACTGCTCATGATTTAATCTGTTACAGCTGCATTGAGGACTATGGGATCCATTTTCTTTGTGACTTCTTTAGGTCCTAAAGAATATTTTCATGTTTTCTTGCTCCGGAATTTATAGTTTCAGTCTGTCTGGCAATTAAGCTATATAAGATACTTTCTCCATAAGTAGCTTTGTTTCGAAGTTTGCAAATGTTTACTGGTTAAAACAGATTATTAATTTTATAACTTCATTTAAAAACAGTTGTGGCTCCTGCAGTTGATCTTTAGATTTTCAAATGATGTAACAGTGACAGGTTCAGATCTGTTGTTCATAGGGTCAGTAGCACACGACGTGAGTGACCTGCATGAAACACAACCCCATACCCACTGGTTGGTTGCTGCTTAGAATGACCCCAGAGGACCAGGTAGACTCCGTTAGGGTCTCCAGGGCTGTCAGTCTTTCCAGAAGCAGCCCGCCTCATCTTTCTCCCATTGAGTAGCTGGTGCGTTCAAACTGCCAATCTTTTGATTGGTAACTGAATACTTTAACCACTGTACTACCAGAGCTCCTTAACAAGGAAGAAGAGATACGTTTTAAAAAGATATTCCATTTCTTCCCCTTTCTCTCAGTAAACTAACAATTATTTTGTTTTGACCACGGAAAGAAGGGGAAAATGGATCTTTTTTTCTTTTTTTAAAATTTTTTTTATTATTAATTTTAATGAAAATTTAGACTTTGGATTTCCATTCATTCATTGTTGAGTTTTTCTCCCCTCCCAATCCCCTCCCCCCAGTTTACTCTTCTCTTTGGAAAGTTAAAGAAAAATTCTTTCATTGTTATACAATCCCACCCCCCAAGTCCACTCCACTATGCAGCCTTTTTCTGGACTCCTGTCATCACAATAATACCTAATCATATATCCCTTTTAAACAGTTCTCTCCTTCATCTGTTTCAGTGCAATATACAAAATTTATCCCATCTTTCTAAGTCTCCCCCCAACCCTGATGTCAGTCCCGTTTTACAACAGTGGCACTATGCTGTATTTGTCCTTTTGTGATTGAGATATTTCACTTAGCATAATGCCCTCCAGCGTCAAAAATGGGTATTTTTTTTAGCTACTATTTCTAGTGTTATTCAATCTGTGCAATCTCATTTTATAACTAAAGACACTAATTCCAACAGGCTTCATTATCTTACCCAGCCCCTAACTTGACCTGTTTTCTTTTCAGTGAGCAGAACAGCAGAAAGTCCAGTTAATTGTTAATAATGTTATGTAAAATTTTTGAATTTTTGTAAAGGCCAGCTTTAGTAAAAATGCTCTGAAAAATGTCTGTATAACTCTTGCTTTTCTAAGTTTATTCTTATGAAATGCAATTCCTGTGTTCATCACAGAATTAAAGCTTTGAATGGTTTGAACTTGCTTTAGATATTAGCCAGCTGGCATGTTTTCTTAGCAAAACATTTTCTGATTTGACCCCCGACTCTCTCAATAAGTTGTTACTAGTTTGAATAATACTACAGAATATGCTGTCATGGTGTGCACCTGATAATGAAAGCCGATATCTGGAGTGCATTTTTATTTGGATTTAAAATGTTTTTACAATCTCAATATAAACACTTGTAATCTAGTCAAAGCCTTTTCTCACTAGATCAAGAACTTTTATAGTTTTACTTTAATTGGTTACAGTCAAACAGTAAGAGAATAAATGGTACATTTACATTAGGCAAACATCTTAGTTTATTTTTTACCATGACAGATGTTATACCAAACTAGCTCTAGGAATTTTGTAGATAAAATGATTTGGTTTTGAAACTCTGAAAATGCGAACTTTTAAAAAAATATCGTTTGAACATTTTATGGCATGAGATCTTTGTGGATGGAAAGCTAAAACATAAACAATTTATGATACAATGTTGAGAAATTACAAATCTATCATACATTTGGGTTAGGTATCCATGATTTGAGAGTTACAGATTTTGTTGTGATTGTTTATTGAACTATAACTATTTGATTGGTTTTGAACGGTAATAAATATTTATAACAGATTTCTGTCCTCTTGAGAGTGAGGGTGGAATTCACCGTCATCGACTGACTCGTGACTACTCTCCATGTGGACTCATTCTGTCCCAGAGAAGGCTGCCTGCCTTTTTTCCTTAGTGAATTCAAACTGCTGACCTTTGGGTTGCCAGCATTACCTGTGATACACCATGCCACCAGAACTCCTTAGGATGGTGAGGGTAGTTTTCCCAGTTGCCCTCATTTGGATAGACCAAACCCCAGTTACTTTAGGCAGTTGCAATACCATGTTTTAACTATGGATAGCCACTCACTACCATCAAGTGAATCTGTCAGAACAGCGTGGAGCTACTGCCTGGAGTGTCCAAGGTTGTATATGTTTACAGAAGCAGACTGCTTCGTGGAGTAGATGGTTGAGTCTGTCCATTGGTGAGTAGCCAAATGCATCAACCACGGTGCCACCAAAGTTCTCTTAATTTTGGATGGTCAGTAAAAAAAAAATGCAGCAATTACGAAAGATTGCAAGCATGGATTTGTAAGAGCAGGTACATAAGAGATCCTTTATTATTTAGCTCTCTTTTATGCCTTCTTACTAGTCATTGGGTAAAGGTGGACGTTGGAATTTTGTTCTAGTGTGTTCTAAGCCATGGCAGTCAAGATAATTCTGACTCATAGCGAACCCTGTAGGACAGAAAACTGCTGCACAGAGTTATCAAGGCTGTAGTCTTTACAGAAGCAGACTGAGGATTTAATATTGATTTTGTTGTCATGTGCTATTGAGTCGGACTGACTCACAGTTGACCTTTCAGTGGGTTTTCAGAGGCTGTGATCTGTATCGTCAGAGGAGATTGCCAGTCCTTCTCCTGAGTAGCAGCTGGCGGATTAGAAGCATCTGCCTTTGGGTTGACTGCAATTTCTTACCTACTAGGGCCACTGCAGCTTCCTTTCATTAAAGTAACAAAATTCACTATATATTTTCTATCAGAATTTTAAGTGAACATTTGCACATAACTTTATGTTTTTGTTTTTGTTATCTCTTTCAGCATAGAGGAGAATTTACAGTCTCTCTCAGTGATGTCTTACTGACCTGGAAATACCTCCTACATGATAAATTGAATTTACCACTTGAAAATATGGAAGCAGTTGACCATTATGAAGACATTAGGAAGACTTATGATGATTTCTTGAAGAATAGTAATATGTTAGATCTAATTGATGTTTACAAAAAATGTAGAATTTTGACTTCTAATTGTGAGCAGAATGACAAGATATCCTCTGTAAGTATTTCCTAACAATTTTATTAAAATCAGATTAAATTTAGCTAGACTTATTTTTATTGTAACTATAATACTACAACAACAACAAAATGCTATCCGTAATAGTAGCTTGATTATGCTTTGTTTTAGAAATCTTAGTAACAGTGAAAAGTTTTGCTACCAGAAATATTTTGTGGTAAATCTTTTAGGGTTTTTGTTACTGTGCTTAGGTTGACATAAAAGAAGAGCTTGAAAGTAGAAATTATATCAATTTTTAAAAAATTTTAATTGTGATTTTTTTAACAAGTTTATAGAAAAGTTGGATTTTTATTCATTCATTGTTGCACTTTCCTCTGCTTTCTTCCTTCCCACTCCCCGAGTTCACTTTTTTTTTAAAATTCATTCATTGTTGCACAGTTATCTCCCTACCCCCTCTCTTTGCCCTCCACTAGTCCGCTTTACGATGTACCTCTTATTCTGGACTGTTGTCACATATAATGCCTAATCATATCAAATAGCTTTGTAATGAAGAAATTGGTCCCAAATGTATGATTTCTTTTTGCATAATGACAAAGAGGCAAAATTCCTTTTCCATTTTCTTTCTTGGTTTAAGTGCATCTGTTCATTTGACATTTGTTTTATAAATAATTACTATGGTTTTCTGTGGTTTTAATAGTATTTTACTGAGATAAGACTATACTTATTTAAAGAGAGTAATTTTGTTAACATACATGAGTTTAATAGATTAGTTATCTTTTTTTTGCACTTGTTGTTGTATGTGCCGTCGAGTTGTTTGCGACTCATAGCGACCCTATGTACAGCAGCCCTAAACCCTGCTCTATCCTATGCCAATCTCATTGCCTCTGACACACCCATCCCGATTACCCCAGTCACTGAATCAATCCACCTCATAGAGGATGTCCCCCCTCCTGCGCTGTCCCTCCACTCTGCCCAGCATGATGTCCCTCTCTAAAGACCTGTCTCTCCTTACAACATGTGCAAAGTATGTCAGACGAAGCCTCAGAATCCTTGCCTCCAAGGAGCAGCCTGGTTTAACCCTCTCTAGGATGAATCTGTTTGTTTTCTTGGCAGTCCATGGTACACTCAATACTCTTCTCCAGCACCACAGCTCAAAGGTGTCAATTCTCCTTCTGTCCTCCCTAGTCATTGTCCAACCCTCTGATGCATAACAAGTGATTGCAAAGACCATGGCCTGTATCAGGCGCACCTTAGTCTCCAGAGAGACACCATTGCTCTTGAGTACTTTAGAGAGGTCCCTAACCACAGACTTTCCCATCGCAATACGTTTTTTGATTTCCTGGCTACTGGTGCCAAGAGTGTTGACCGTGGAGCTGAGCAAACTGAAGCTGTGAACAATCTCAATCGCTTCACCATCCATCCTGATGCTACCGATTGGTCAAGTGGTGAGAATTTTTGTCTTCTTGACATTGAGCCTGAGTCCATATTGAAGGCTGCTGTCCTTGACCCTCTGCAGTAAGTGCATGAGGTCCTCCTCAGTTTCAGCGAGGAGGGTTGTGTCATCTGCGTAACGCAAATTGTTGATAGATGATCCACCAATCCTAACGCCACGCTTCTCCTCATAGATCCCTGCCTCTCGGATAATCTGCTCTGCGTACAGGGCTGAACTCGTTCAGCATTTCTTAAGCTCAAGGAACTGAAGAACAAATTCAAACCTCGAGTTGCTACAATCAAGGATGCTGTAGGCAGAATGTTAAATGATCCAGGAGGTATCAAAAAAAGATGGAAGGAATATACTGAGTCATTGTATCGAAAGGAATTGCCAGATACAGAAGAATTTAATGAAATAGCATTTGAGCCAGAGCCTATGGTGATGAAGGCAGAAGTTCAAGCTGTTTTGAAGGAAATAGCAAAAAATAAGGCCCCCGGAATAGATGGTATACCAATTGACATATTTCAGCTAACAGATGCTGCCGTGGATGTGCTCACCAAGTTGCGCCAAGAAATCTGGAGAACAACAACTTGGCCAACTGACTGGAAGAGGTCTATATTTGTTCCCATCCCAAAGAAGGGCGACCCAACTGAGTGTGGAAACTACAGAACAATATCATTGATTTCACATGCAAGCAAGATTTTACTGAAGATTATCCAAAAACGACTGGAACACTACATCAGCAGAGAACTGCTAGAAGTCCAGGCTGGGTTTAGAAGGGGTCGTGGTACTAGGGATATTATAGCTGATGTTAGATGGATCTTAGCTGAAAGCAGAGAATACCAGAAGAATGCCTATCTGTGTTTCACTGATTATGCAAAGGCATTTGACTGCATGGATCATAACAAACTGTGGTTGACTCTGAGAAGAATGGGAATCCCAGAACTTTTAATCGTGCTAATGCGAAACCTATACTTGGACCAAGAGGCAGTCATCAGAACAGAGCAGGGCAACACTGCATGGTTCAAAATTGGGAAGGGTGTACGCCAAGGACGTGTCTTGTCTCCATACCTTTTCAACCTCTATGCAGAGCAGATTTTTGCACTTACATATTTAGTACTACTTGGTTCAAAATCAGGAAAGGAGTGCCTCAGATATGCATCCTGTCCCAATATATACATACCTTTTCAATCTCTATGCAGAATAGATCATTCTGGAAGCAGGATTTATGAGGAGGAATGTGACATCATGATTGGAGGAAGACTCATTAACAACCTACATTATGCAGATGACACAGCCTTGCTTGAGAAACTGAAGAAGACCTGAAGTGCTTGCTGCAGAAGGTTAATGACTATAGTCTTCAGTATGGATTTAAACTTAACATCAATCAGACAAAGATTCTTATCACTGGACCACTTGGCAGCATCATGATAGATGGAGACGAGATTGAGGTTGTTAACAGTTACTACTTGTTCAGCTCCACAGCAGGAATAGTAACACTCTTAGCACCAGTGGTCAGGAAGTCAAAAGACCAATTGCACTGGGAAAATCTGCTGTTAGGGACCTCTCCACAGTACTGAAGAGCTGGTATGTCAGTCTAGAGACTAAGGTGCGCCTAATCCAGGCCACGGTCTTCACAATTATTTGTTATGCTTCAGGGAGTTGGACAATGACTAAGGATGACAGAAGGAGAATTGATGCCTTTTAATTGTGATGCTGGAGAAGAGCATTGAACATACCGTGAACTACCAAGGAAACAAATAGGTTTGTGTTGGAAAGGGTGAAACCAAGTTTCTCTTTGGAGGCTAGGATTTTTAAGCTCTTTCTCACATACTTTGGGCACATGTCCAGGAGAGGCTGGCCCTTGGAGAAGGCCATCATGCTTGGAAGGGTGGAGGAACAGCACAGGAAGACCCTAGATGAGATGGGTTGATGCAGTAATGGGGGCAGTGGGGGTTGGTGTGTCGGACTCAGTGAGACTGGCTCTGGACAGGGCACGATTCAGAGCTACTGTACATAGGGTCGCTATGGATCATAGGTGACTTGACAGCACATAACAACAACAACATATTTATTAACTCAATTTTTTATTTTTTAATATGATATAAATAAAAAAGTTGAATGGAGTAGCATCCTTTGTGGTGTGGTTTTATGTACAGTAAAATTGTCGTTGTTTACCGTCGTGTCGGATCGATCCATAGCTGGCCCTCTGACGGGTTTCAGAGGCAGTTGATATGACGGGAGGAGATTTCCCACCCTTCTCCCGCGGAGCAGGATAATAATGTTTTAGAATATTTATACATATAAATGGGCATATTAGATTTTTGTTTAAAGTGTTAAAAAATGTTTTCTTTATCTTAACATTTCCTCTCTAATCACCACCAGCCCTTGGAAAATGATGTTATGCTGGGAAAGAGGGAGGGTCAGAGAAAAAGAGGAAGACTCCCAAGAAGATAGATTGACGCAGTGACTGTAACAGTGGGTTCGGGCATATCAGAGATTGCGAAAATTGAAAAAGATGAGGGAAGATTCAAGTCTATTCTTTTTTGTGTTGCAATGAGTTATAATCTACTCAGGGGTACCAGACAGCAACAACAGTATTTACTGAGTATTGTGAACTAAGTGTCAGAGATGATGATGCTGGCTTAGAATAGGGCGAGGTTCAGAATCATTGTTTATAGTGTCACCATGAGTCGTAGTTGTCTTGATGGCACATAACAACAACAGCAATGAAGTATTCGTAGTGGTAAACTCAAGACTTAACTGCCATCAATTGGTTCCACTCATCGCCACCATGCATTGGGTTTCCGAGGCTGTTTGTAAATTGCAATGGGAGGAGTTTGCACATCTTTCTTACCTGGCGCCACTGGTGGATTCCAATTGCTAAAGATGGGAAGCCTTTAGGATAGAAATGCAACTTGTTAATGGACCAGAGTTCGCTACAGTAATAGTAACAGTATCTGGGAAAAAACCCCCAAACTCAAAGCCAGAAAAATGCTTGCAAGAGTGTAGAGTAATTTGAATGCATATACTATTCCCTCTAATTGTAGAAATTGCTAAATAATTGCGGCTGAAATCAGAAGAAAATGTTTCTTGTATATTCTAGGGTAGTCAGTCATGTTGTTGTTGTTGTTATGTGCCGTCGAGTCTTTTGCGACTCATAGCGACCCTATGTACAACAGCTCTAAACCCTGCTCTATCCTGTGCCAATCGCATTGCCTCTGACACACCCATCCCAATTACCCC